CAGGTGAGCCCCGTGCTGGGAGAGCCGCACACAAGCGCTGCCTCCGGCCTCAGCCGCCCCGGCAGGAGCCTCTTCCCTTGGGATCTTCTCTGCCTGCACCCCGGCGGCGCGCGTGCTCCAATAAAAGCTGGCATCGCCCTAGGAAACCCTCACCTCTTGCATAACTGCTGGCCCGTCAGGGCTACAACATCACTCTTTAAAAAAAAAAAACATTAAATGCAAATGTTCCGTGTTCCAAGCCAAATGGGCCCAAACCAATACCAAATCCGAGTCAGTCCAGAACCAGAAGTGGCCCTACTACCCGCAAACATCCTCCACCCGTGCCTGGGGCTTCAGGTGCTTCCAAATCCTTTGGCGGGCATCCTGCTTGCAGCCCGGAGGCTGGGGGTTCGGATGGCTCCAAGCTTCACTTGCCCTCAGCCTTACAGCCGCAGGGACAAGCGAGGGAGCAGCCTGCCCTTTCCATACAGTGGACATAAAGCCAAGGGTAACCATGCATTACCTATGTGGGTGCTATCCCATGCCAGCAGAGCGCTCTTCTCCAGGTGCAACTAGGAAGCCTTCGTGGTGATCACGGTATTTCCCCTGCCAGGTAAGCATAGGGCTACGCTTGATCTGAGCCGACAAGAGGCCAACCTCTTACACTACCTCAAAATATAGGGAGCCCTGCAGAGAGCAGGCCCCAGTGCTGGGCTCTGGACACTGTGTGGCACTGCACACAGACAGCCACCCCGCCGTGGCTTGCCCCACACCTATTGCCAGCAGAGCTGTGTTGATCCAGGTCTGACTTTTCCCCACCCAAACCCCATCTCTTGTGCTCACAGGCGACTGGGGGGGCACAAGCACCCCCTGGGATTGGCCCCTGACCAGTTGTGCTTATACAATTAGTCCAAGTTTGGTCCCTTCAGGAACATGGTAATTCATTCACTGGCAGATGTGTCTAATTGGGGAGGGATTGCTGAAACACCTACTAATATAGCTACATTGGTGGGCGGTGATGTAGCCCTCTGTGCAATGAAAGCTCTGCTTGTGTCAGTTTGAGCTAGAAATAACCTGTTCATGGCTCCTGGGGTCTAGCTATGCTAGGTGACAATAGGATCCCACTGCTTCTATTTCCTGCTAAAGTTCAAGCTGATCATCTTTGCTTTTAACTATTTCACGTGTCCCTTTCTTGTTCTATTCCCAGACTTTTACTCCTGAAGTGAAATGGGGTGGTTATGGTACCACAGGAACATACACATACAGGACTGCAAGCACATGTAGGTCACTGAGTTCAATCCCCCTGTCTTGCAGGTGCTGTGTTACACTGAGCAAGTCCAGCATTGAGTAGCTGGGTTTTTTGTCCCCAGCTGCTCCTGCCGGGAGGTTGTTGCAATACTTTGCCGCTCTGGGGATAAAACATCCTTTTATTTCCAGTTGAAATGGATTCGTTGTCAGTTCATAAACATCTGTTCTTGAGCCAACATTGTCCTTTAGCTTAAATCACACTTTTCCCTTCCTGGTGTTTACTACCCTTCCCAACCCATCATGTAGTTATATAGACAGCAATTACATCCTTCTTCCACCTTTGCTTTGCTAGACTAAACAAGCCAAACTCTTGTAGTCTCTTCTTGTATGAGACGCTCTTTGTTCTCCAGATTTTCTAGGACTCCTTCTCTGAACCTGTTCCAGTCTGAATTCATCTTTCTTGGTGACCAGCACTATATACAGAAGATGACTCATTAGGGCCTTCTCCATCTTTACTGTAAATACATCTTTTGTTACATCCTGTGGTTACGTTTGCCTTTTTCATACCTGTATCACTTTGATGGGTCCAATCGTCTTGCAATAAATTTACACTCCCAAATCCTTCTCTTCCTCAGTCATTTTCAGTTGTTGATGAGCACTGACCTTCTGGCAGAAATCTGTGTTGTTAGTTAAGTGCATCACTTTGCGCCCAGTACTACTGAAGTTCATCCTCTTCTGTTACTCTGGTTCTCAAGGTCAACCAGCAAGTCTTTCTCTAGGAGATCATGATCATCCTTCTTTATTGACAAAACTCCCACCTCTGAAATCAAAAAAATTCAGCAGCACATTCCTACTTTTTATGCCAAGATTTTTAATGCAAATATTAAATTAAAAGGGCCCTAAAATGAATCCTTCAGGAACTCCCTCCAGCTTGACAATCCCCACTTTCAATTTCAACTCCACCCATTGCTGTCTCTTTTTTAGCCAATCCTTTATCCACATTACAATTCTTGTACTAATCCACGTCTTGTCCAAGTAAACTAAGACTTTCTCAGTTGGCCCAATACCAAATGCTTTACTGAAGTCCAAATAGATGAGATATACTGCTTTTCTTTTGTCTAGAAAATCAATTATCATATTAAAGAAAAGCTATCAGGGTTGTCTGGCACAAAAAACCCATGTTGCCTTTTATCCCACTTTTCATCTGTCTCTGTGCTTTAATTATTTTCCTTTCAGAATTTGTTCTAAGGCTTTGCATACCATTGAGCTCAGAGGCCTGTAGTTGCCTGCCTTCCATTTTTCTCTTAAATACAGCAACTGCATTTGCTATTTTTCACACATAAGCTATTACCTCCAACTTTACGAGTTTATTAAAATGCTTGCTGTGGGACTGTGTTTTCATATGTCAGTTCTTTCAGAATTGTGGGACAGAGATTATTTGACCTGAGTGATTTTTACTGGTTGAGCTTTGCAACCTTGAAGTAATTTCCATTTCCATACCCTTATTCCCATTCTCCCACTGACCTTTGCACTCATCGAGGTTATAAACCTTATTGAAAACTGAAGAGAAGGATTCATTTAATTCTGGGGATAAATCTAGATTGTCTTTAATTTCTACCCCATTCTTATTGCATAGAACGGGGGCTGCTATGTGCTCTTTATTTAAAAGGCTGAAGAACCTATTGTTATTTTTTAATATATGTATTTTTATATATTTTATATATAATGTTATTTTTATATATATTTTATAATATACCTGTGATTTAGGAGCACTAATGTAATTCGCACTTATCAGTACTCCTGCTCCTAAGTCACTTAGAGTTCAATGCCAATGTTCATTGCCAGGATTCTGGAGCCAACACGCAGTCTCTTTATGCTTCCCATAGCCTCCAAGTATAGACGATCCTGTTCATGCCCCATGTTAGTTAGAGCACCCTTAAGACTGTCCTGATTATAGCTAAACTGCCTGTATCCTCCTAAAGTTTGGTAGTCATCTGAAAATAGCTATAGCACATACTGTAGCCACGATCCTTCTTTTGCCCTTCCCACCTCAGCATGCTCCCCTACAGTTTGGTTTTGCCCTGAGGGCCAACGTTGAGAACTTCTGTTAACTCTGCACCTCCAGCAGAACCCCATTGCACTCAGATCACATTTATGGAGCATACAGGAGTCACAGGAGATAGAGCAAGCCCAGGACAACAGACCTGTCTACAGAATTTTGAAGCTGCTCCTGTTTCTCCTCCTGCTGTGCAGAACAGATCTGGGTCATAGGAAAAGACTAGGCACAGCACATTTTTCAGTGAGAGTTATGTTTATTAGGAATTGGCAGCCTGAGCTCACTGCAGATTGCTTATGCTGTGCTGCACCTGCAGAGGTCTGTAGCCTGACAGCTCTCTGGGGCCTTGTTATCCCATGTCTTGTGCCTTGCATCCTCTCTGAAGATACCCATGCAAAGAGCCTGCAAAATGCTGCCTTTCTGATGCAGTTACATTTTACACTCACTTTTTGCAGTTATAAATGGCCACAGATAGGCTCAGAAGGGGACAGTTGGGGCCTGTGTTCTCTGTCTGGTCCAATCTTCCTATAGGAAAGCACTGTGTATGCTCAGCTGGTGGATAAATAAACCATCCCAAGCAGACTTCCCTTGCCAGCATGCCTGCTGGTCCCCTGATGAGTTGTATGAGGGATAAGCCTAAGCAGGATGTTTCCACACATGCCTGTATGTCTGCAGGCTTGGGGTGGGGGGACAGGAAGTTTGTTTCCTGGTACCCAGTATCCTCACTTGAAGCCTTCCTGTCAGGGGGTGTTAGCATCCGCAACAGAACAAAGCAAACCATCACAGTATTATTGGAAAAGCCATATAATCCCAGGTTCACCAGCAATTCCCTATGTATTACCCTCCTATGAGGCCTTGCACCACAGACCAGATCTTCGATGTTAGAATCATATGCAAAAAGTACCATGACCATTCAAAAGAGCTCCATCATAATTTCATAGACTTTTAAAAAAGCTTTTGACTTGTGGTGCAAAGCACTTTGGCCACCAATGAAGAAGCATAGCATCAGTTCCACACTGATAAGTTTTATAGATGAACTCTGCAACAATACAAGTAGTGGAGTCATGAATGACTGGTGCCTCCCAAGACTGGTGGGGCACAATTCGTGGGTGGCAGCATCGGTGGCGGGGTGGTGAGCGGCAAACGCCCGCAGAAGCCGGCGGCGGCCAAGCTCAGGTGGGACATGTGCCCCCCCCCAAGCCTCCCCTACACCTCACCTATGAGTGGAGTCCTGCTTGACAACAACACTGTGGAGTGGTTTGCAACATCAGAAGGAGTAAGCCAACGTTGTTCTCTCTCCCCATGCTTATTCAATTTATACCTGGGACAAATCATATCAGATGCCTTAAAGAACTTCCCTGGAACAATATCAGTTGGAAGATAAGAAATTAACAACCTTCACTTTGCTGATCGTATTGATCTAATAGCTGGAACTCCAAAAGAGCTTAAGGAAATAACAGAAAGGCTGCATAAGGCTACAAAGAGATATGGAATGGAAATTAGTGAGAAGAGCAAAGTAATGATAACATCAGCCAATAGCAATGATAATGCATCAGCAAAAACTGGTAATAAGAAACTAGACAAAGTAGCACACTTTAAATACCTTGGAGCAACCCTAACAAAAGATGCTACATCAGAAAAAGAAGTAAAAACAAGAATAGCAATCGCCATTGAACAACTAGCAAAACTGAAGATAATCTGGACTAGCATCAACATCATAATGAAAACGAAGCTCCACCTACTATATGCTGTTGTTATTTCAACAACTCTCTATGACTGCGAGACATATTAATAGGGTGTATCTATACTGAAGTCAGTGGGTGATTTCAGCTCATGTAGACATATTGGGGCTAACTCTAAACCAGGGGTGTTACACATATAGTAGATGGGACCGTTGCATCCAGTCTGCCAGTAGTCTGAACTGGACTACTAGAAGTGCACGTCCTTGGCTCTGAACTGCCCTATATCCACTGCTCAAATGCAGCTCTGTGCAGTTGCATGGCCCTGGCTCTTTGCCACTGCCCAGCCAGAGCTCTGCACCATCTCGTGCCCTCCAGCTCTGCACTGCCTGAATGCAGCTGCATGTAGTCAGTCGCACATGCTGCTGCCCAGTCCCAGACCCACCCTGCTGTCCCAAAGGCAGCCCCATGAATCCTGCCCAGGAGGGTTCTCTGCAATCCAGATCCAGCCCAGGGTCCAGAGTGAGTTTGGCATCCCTGCTCTAAACCACTTAGCTCAGGTTCTAATACCAACATAACCAGAGCAAGAGGGAACACAGCATGGACTACAAAACCTGGCCAAGAAACTGAGAGAATAGCTGGTTAGCTAGCCTATACTGAGCTTCCTACTACCACAACT